GCTTGATGTTCTTGCAGGTCACCTACTGATGCTTTTTCTCCTTTCGATTCAAGGCCGCTACTAGGATGTTTCGATGAGTTACCGCAGTATTACCAGAGAAACTGGAAATATTTTCTCTTTTTAATCCCAGGTCATTACTGAAGAATTTTATAGGTCAGCACATGTTTTTATAAATGTATCAACTAATGATGGTCTTCCTCACTGTGGTGTAGTAACTTTTACTTTCTTTTAAGGCAGAAAGTACAAGTCCACGCTATGGTGTAGCACATTCTACTTGCTACACGTATGCTTGACAATAAGCAGGTGCTGCTGCTGTTTTTTTTTTTTTTTTTTTTCTTTTACTTTATCTTCTTTTTTTTTTTTTTTTTTGCAGCTTTTGATAGTAAATGTCTATGCTCATCCTTTCTGGCTTTAATTTAATCTCAATAACCAATTTGCCTTTGATATGAGCGGATTCTTAACCGCCTTATATCATACTTTGTTCCTCCCAACTCTAACTTCGTTCTGACAATGACCACCAGCTATTTTTGAAAGGAGTCAGCGTTGTATTTTTCTAAGATGCATCTACCAATGTTTTTCTTCCTTCCATGGCAAAAGAATTTAAAAGGAATAATGATCTTGTAGGATGCATCTACTAATGTTTTCCCTTTCTCCTGATCCAAGGTTGTTACTGGAGGTTCAAAGGGATTACTGTGGTGCTCTTGCAAAATACATCTGAAATGCTTTCCTTTTTCTTAAAACCAAGGCTATTTCCAGAAAAATTTTGAAAGCTTGGTTTTTAGGGCGAGCGGGGGGCCATACACAAAAGAGCCGGATCCAAGTCAGGCAGCGAAGGAAAAATGCACTGTCGATCCCAAATTTCCTATTTGGCCTTAAATACAATTTCAGGTTACACCAATTCAAATGGGTGATCCTCGTGATAATAACCCTAGCGTGACTTTGTCAACGCATAGGGTCATTATTCTCGCTCAGATCAACTTTATTTAACGATGAAGATACATATGGGAGAAAAAAGAGGATCATGGGAAGGTAGTGGATCATCAAAACCTGCCATTGCTTCTTCTTATCCAGGTTTATCTTTTAAACAGTTAAGGGAACCAGGCTGATGTACCTGCAAAGTTCATCTGCTAACATTTTTTCCCTTCTGGTCTAAACTTATTATCCTTAAAATGCAAAAGATCAGTATGATGTTCTTGAAAGCACATCTGCTAGTGCTTTTAGTCCAAGACTATTATGCAAAGGTCGGCGTAAAGTTTTTGCGAGGCGCATCTGCTAATGCTTTTCCTTCTCCTGATCCGAAATCACTCAACCAAGGTCTGAAGAAGTCAGCGTAGTATTCATGTAGGATGCATTTAATATCTTTCATCTACATAAATTGAGATTATTCCATGATCTAAGGATGTCAGCGAGATGTTCTTGCAAAGTACATCTGCCAATGATTTTTCTTCCTCTGTGTATCTGCCGATGCTTTTCTCAAATTTATTTTTGTAAAGGGTAAAGAAGTAGCATAATGTTCTTGCAAGTGCTTCTTTAAGTGCTTCTTTAAGTGCTTCTCCTCTCCTGACTCAAGTTTATTACTGCAAAGATCTAAAGAAGTCAGCGTAGAATTCCTATAAAGCGTATCTGCTGATGCTTTTCCATCATCTGATCCACTGTCATTATTACTAAAGTTCAAGGTAGGCATGAAGTTTTTACAAAGTGCATCGGCTAATGCTTTTCCTCCCTCCAATTCAAGTTTATTACTTTAAGATCAACGCAGTGTCCTTGTAAGATGCATCTGCTGATGCTTTCCCCAAATGGTCCAGGATCATTATTCTAAAGGTTCGGATCTTTTAACGTGACATTTGTGCAAAGTGCACCTGCTAGTACTTTTCCTCCTGATTCAATATTATTATTACCAGGACTCAAAGGAGTCAGTGTGAAGTTTTTTTTTTTTTTTTTTTTTTTTTTTTTTTTTTTTTTTTTTGCGGGTAAATCCGCTAATGCTTTCCTTCCTTCTAATCTGATATTATTTATATTAAGGCTCAGAGGAATCAGCGTGGAGTTTTGCAAAGTGCATCTAGGTTCATCTGTGATGCTTTTTCTCCAAATAATCGAAGTTCATTATTTCGAAGATTCAAATCTTTTAGCGTGGTATTCTTGCAAGTACATCTGCTAAAGCTTTTCCTCACTTTTTACCTAGCATTCTAGTAAAGTGCACTGATAATGCTTTCTCTCTTCTGATCCAAGTTTATTGTCCCAAGATCCAACGAAGTTAGTGTAGTGTTCTCCTTCTCAGATTTAATCTTTAAGAGAAGGGAGAGATAAGCTCGTAATATAAGTTTTTTTTTTTTTTTTTTTTGTCTTGATAGCTTGAGGAAGTATCAATGGAAGGTGTTAACTCAAGGTTTCGTTAGGATTAAGTTGTTATATGCTTTTCTTTTGGTATCTAAAGTACCGGAAGCACTGGCCCGAGTTTCGTAAATGGTTGAATTTAGGGTCGCGTCGGATCTTATGATCGCTTTAAGAACGTGTTTTTTTTTTTTTTTTTTTTTTTTTTTTTGGATTGGTTTTTCTTATACTTAGCTGGTAGTTTATCGTCTTTATGTACTAGACGTGAAAAAGCGCCATACACGAAAGAGCCGGATCCAAGTCGGGCAGCGAAGGAAAAATGCACTGTCGATCCCAAATTTCCCATTTGGCCTTAAATACAATTTCGGGTTACACCGATTCGAATGGGTGATCCTCGCGATAATAACCCTAGCGTGACTTGGTCAACGCATAGGGTCAGTCATTGACGATTGATCATTTATTTTAAACATGAATTATTGTATGTTACATATTAATATGGAAATCGATGATTTCTTTAATTAATTACATTAATTTTTTTATAAATGCATTATTATTCCAATTTTCGTTAAAAAAAAAAACAAACAAGTTTATAAAAGAAAATTAAATGAATAACATTGAAAGGACAATAACGAACAGAGAAAATTATATTTCAAATGTAATCAATGACATTAGATCTTTACTGAATGTCGATCTCTGCTTTGTTCTTGATTGCACTGATTCTATGAGTGAACACATTGCCGCTGCAAAAAACTGCATATTAAAAGTGTCAAACTATGTGAAAAATTATGGTGCTGATATTAAACTTTGGTTTGGTTTCTGTGGATATCGTGACTATTGCGATAGGCGTGATCACATACAAATTCTTAACTTTACTAACTCTCATGAAGAATTTAAATCATATATAACTAATAAAGTAAATGCTAAAGGTGGTAGAGATATCCCAGAAGATGTCCTAGGAGGTCTTAACGCTGCGATAACTCGTATGTCCTGGAATAGTGCCACTCGTGTGCTTATTCATATCGGAGATGCCCCTCCACATGGTCGTCGTTTTACTAACAAAAATGATGAATTTCCAGATGGCGATCCATCTGGTCTGACTGCTGAAAAAGTGTTGAAAAAAATGAAATCGAACAATATTTTATATCATTTTGAGAAAATTAATAATTCTACAGAAATTATGCTTGGCATATTTCGTGAAATAATTGGTGATTTTCCTGTATTTGATCTTACTAGTAATAATCCGAACGTATTACTTGATAGATTTGTCGAAACTACTTGCTCTGCTATCATTTCTTCTGTTTTGCTTACCACTACGTTAAGAAACCCTGCAAACATACATTCCTTACAACTAAAAAGACTTCAAATCAATCCACTTGAACCCGATTGGTCCACTCTACCTGAAAAATCTGGAGAACTTTTATATTATCCATTACCTAAATCACTTGATGAAATTAAAGATGAACATTTTTTTATAAATTCAAAATTTACCACTCGAAATATCTTGTTCAAACTTGCCCCGCAACCATTTTCTGTTGGTGCTGAACGGTATGCATATTTTTCCCTTTGTAATAATCTTGGGCAAGGTGAAAAATTTGTTATAAAAGAATATCATAATTCTGAACAAGGCTCTGAAAAACGATATCTAGAATTAATAGAGGTTTCTAACATTGCTAAATTTCTTTCAACAAAATTTAATTTAGCTATAGAACAAACTAAATTCAACTGGAAAGTGAATTTTCTTGATGTAAATATCTTGAGTAATAAGTCTAATACTAGTACTTTATATTATTCTATAGAAAAGTATTTCTCTGGTGCAAAGTTTAAACGGCTTAACACAAATAGTGGTATTATTACAGATTTCCATTCAGCCCTTGAGGCGTTTGCTCATTTCACTTATCAGTATACCAAGGGATATTTAGTAGTTTATGATTTACAAGGTGTTAGTCTTAATAAAGAATTCTTATTAACAGATCCGGCAATACATTGTGTTGATATATTAAGATTTGGTGAAACAAATTTCGGAAAGAAAGGAATTGAAAAATTTTTTTTGAAGAAACATGAGTGTAATATGATTTGTAAAGGTTTAAATTTAGACAAAGTTAGTTGTTAGTCATGCTAGTAGTTCAGTAGTTACATAGAATCAATACAAATATAAGTTATATATTATATAAATACATAAATATAAACAATATTAAATGTGTATAGTATTTAGTGTATATTATTATAAATCTATATTACAGTATTACTGTATTAGATATATATTACGTATTACGTAACGAGTAATAAAGTATTAAGATTCAGAAATTTATTAATTATTGCAATAATATTATCTTTATAATTTAAATACATTAAAAAAGAATTTTTATTTTTTATTTGAAATTGTTATATTGTCTATAGTATTCGAAATTGTGCACTTCGTTTGAAAGACTGTCGCACAAAAAATGCGTGACAATTTAATTTAATCGGAAAAATTTTTTTAGAAAATAGAACCATATTTCATTTAATTGGTGGTCACGTTTCATTAGCAGAGTTTTGTGCAATTTAGCCCAATTCTCATTTTGCCACGAATTTTTTTGTACACAATTTTTCCGTTAGAATAATAATCGAAAGCATGCCGCCGCAACGCGTTCAATTTAATTCAACAATAAAACATTGAATATGTTATATTTTAATGTAAATATTCGTTATACATCGGATTTTAAATTTTCGGTTAATTGAATAGAGTAACTACGATTATCAACAAACGATTATATTTTTACAATGCTACGTACACAACATGGAAATTTATTAACGTTAATGCAATTGGTATACTGGATTGAATAGTCATTGAATTATTTTTTGTAGTGGGGTCCTATAACACTAATAAAATTTTTAATATACTTTTTTTTCTTTACTTTCTTTTGTCTTTTTTTTAAAAAAAATAAAACTTTAAACTGTATAAATAATGTAGAATTAAGTAGAAATTATCAGCCAATCATACGAAATTCCTCCTATGGAATTAAATCCTCAAAAATCTAACCAATGATATATACGTAATTAAAAGCACGTATGTATGCACATAGTTGATTTTCTAGTAATCCACTTAGGTTGAAATGGAATTCCAAATGTAGTCCAAGTTGATACGAAGTTTGAAAGCAACTTGAGTTTATTCTAAATTTGATACTGTATAATTGGTAAAATTAGGGTTGGTTCGGTCCTGAAAAGACCGGTTAAGGACCGGTCTTTTTGATCGGTTACACGGTCTTCGGTTTTCAGTCTTTTAACCATTTCAGACCGGTTAATGATAAACTATTAAAATAAATTTATAAACTATTAAATAAGCCTTTTTAAACAATTAAAAACTATTATTTCATGAATTTATTTTGATGACGACAGCTAAAATTGATAATATACTCATGTGAAAATAGTTTATTTTAAGACCGGGGACCGAACCGATAGGACCAATCCAACACTAGGTAAAATTTAATAACAATTTGATTTTAAATTCGATATTGTAATAAATGTGTGATCGATTGACGTAGCAATAGTTAAATAAATTAAATCATGTCATGGTAAATTGTTAGGATAAAATAATAAATCTTAATTATTATTAGGATTATTGTTTTTTATTTCACTTTTTCGTTCTTTGCAATTTTTTTACTCGATAGCAAAATCTCAAGGATATCGTTTTTACCTCGCAATACATTCGAAAATTTGCTTTCCACATATCTTTGCTAGCCGATGTAGAACCTTTATAACACGTGAAGACATTGATTTTTGTTATTAAGGTTTTATAAGATCCAACAAATATAACAATAGGGAATGCGAAAAGTCGTTATTGGGCAAAAATGTATTTGCAATACATGATCTCGAAAAACAACTTATTAAATTGGCTCAGACTTACTTGTGTTCATTGGGTCACCAGAGTTGGAGAGTATTTCTTCAATGCTCATAAGCTTTTTATGCAATCCTCATCACAAATAGATGCAATTGCAAAAATGCGTGTGACAAAAAATAATTGTGAATATAAAAAAATGAATGCACCCTGTGAGAATAGTTGTCATCCCGCACTGTTATGAATAACCCTTTCCAGAAGCGACTTAAATTCCAAAACAGCGAGCTCGATGAAATAATTTGGAATACACTTAATTTTTGTTTCTATTACAGCTTATGTTTATTCGGAAAAGATTCTAAATCAACAATAGTTTCATTCCGCGTACGACATTTATAACCCTAAATTTTGATTTGACAGTAATTTGTTAATAGAGTTTACCATCTTAGCTCCATTTATTCACAAGAATTTATTCGGTGAATATAAAAGATCTTTTATTAATTTACATATTTAAGTAACTATTTGGTTTTCATTCACGTTGATTTAATTAGAGTATCTAAATAAGCTAATTAAATCCATAGCATTTATAATCACACTATATCTTTTTAGTATTTTATTCGTGCTAATTCACTTATTGAGTATAAAGAACTTATTATTAACCGATGTATTTAAATAAGCTGTAAGCTATTCGAATTAGAGTTAATACCTCACTATGTTTTTATATCCGGATATATCCGAATATAAAATAAATTCGGATTTAAATTACTATGTTTTACTATATTTTATGAACAAGACTCTAACTATAATGATAAATTATTATAACAATATATGAGACGCGTGTTTTTTCATAAGTTATTTTTAAATTTATTTGTTGCAAAAAAAAAAAAAACAAATCAAAATAACTACAGTATAATAATAAATCAGCAATTCAAAAAGATAGGTTAATATGTGGTTTAAAGCAATTACTTTTAAATCAAGTAAAATTGTATATCTAACTTAATTTCAATTGATTTCAACCCAGATAGATCTATTTTGGATGAATCTAAACTAGATTCGCCAATTTTACAATCCTCAAGCTTAATTGTCCATTGACTAAATGGCGTTGGAACAAAATAGATTTCTGATTCAAATGACACATCTGTTACTATTTTATTTGGTACTTTATATCTAAACTCTTGAGCTGCTCCATATATTGATCTAAAATGATAAATTTTCCCTTTATATCTATCATTAAACATGTTGTTGTTGCTAATAGAAAGAGAAATTTCGTCATTTTCGGACCCAATACCCTCCAAAAATACTCCAAAATTAATGATTCGAACACGTTCATATCGCAGAAATTCTGAGTGATTCAATGGAATCTCAAAAGTAATAAATCTGTCACTCTTAAATTTTTTAATATAATTTTCCTCAGTAAGACGAATTGAATGTGCATAGTCCTTCGAAGTTTGAGGTTGACGCCCAAATTTATAGTATGTGTTTTCTAATTCTTGATAAATTTTATTATTATCTTTCATGTGTCTTTCGGTAGTTTTCTTAACAGAAAGCTCAACTTCAGATTCAGAAAGGGACCAATATTTGTATGCACATCTATAATTTTCTAAATATGTTAGCATCCAACATTTAATATTAATAAAGCATTCAATTAGTGAAAGTGTGCATTCGTTATAATAATCTTCTTTGGATTCATAATCTTTAATCCTTTCTTTGAGTCTTTGTTCTTTTTTTTTAAACATTTCTACTTGTAGTTTTATTCGTGAATATTCTTTGAAACTTTTTGCTTCCTCATTACTTGCTTCAATGTATGTACTAATGCAATGAAATAAATCTTTCAACGAATTTTTATATTCATTTGCACCTTCAAATTCGTTTTCAATAGGCTAAACACATATATATATATATAAATTTTAAGCCATTTATGTTAAATTATTACATGTACAATATTTAAAAAAAATGTATATTTACATCAAGCAATCGCATCATAACATTCTCAATTGATTTCCATTCGGCCTTCATTTTTATTCCTTTTCGATCTTCAGTTTTAAGACTATCAAATTTATCAAAAATAAGTTTTTTTAGCAATCTTAATTAAGGATTAATTAAGGATTAAATTAAGGATTACTTACATTTGTGCAAGTTCATCAACATCCAAAGATTCGATTCTTTTTTGCTCTGTTATCACACTATTATTCAGATCTTTAGCCTTGTCGCAATTATTTTTTAAATCTTCTTCAATTTTTTGAATTGTTTCAATTTTATCCTTTATGTCATTTAAGTCCTTGTTTTCGTCAATGAATGCTTTTACTTTATCACCAGCATCCAGAGCATCTTGAACCGAAATAGATGTCTTTTCTATAGATTCAATAATGTTAACTATGCCATCAGGTCTGATGACAATTGTACCAATACGTATAGCTAAGTTAAAAATTGCAATTAACACGTTCATTTGTGCCTCATAGATCTTTTGATCTTTCCATTTTTCAATTTCTTCTTTAAAATGTTCACATGCGTTGTTTACAACATTTTGTTTCTCCTATTAACAAAAGAACGTGGA